ACAATATGCGTCAGATTCAGTATTCATTCATTTAATAATGTCTTGATTATTGTCTATGAGTTCAACATTGTGCCAAATGCTGAAAGTACACACAAAAAAATTTGAAATTCAATCTAGCTCTTCAATCTGCCTTCCACAAACATAGGAATCTCAAGTAGAGGATGAATATAAGGTTAGGAGTTGGAGACACAATAACAAATGAGCTAAACTTGGTCAACAGGCTGGCAGTCTAGTGTGGAATCAGATAACTAAATATAAAATTACAATATAATGTGATAAGAGAAAGGATGCAAGGAACTGTGTGGCACAAGATGAGGCAAAAGATGTAGATTCTGTCCTATATGACGATGATCAAATTAGTAACCTCCTTGAGCCTATTTCCACATCTCTCTATTTCACCTTATTTTGCAAGACTTTCTTATTCTCTCCATTTTAGTCACACTGGCCTTCTTCTATAGTCTCCCAAGTGGCCATTGCACTGCATTTCCCTCTTCATGGAATGCTTTTCCAACATTATTCACCTAGGTTTCTTCTAGTTATCCTTTAGATTTCAGCTTTAGCTGAAGATGGTGTTTAAGATGAGAACCTCTGCCATTTTATTAAGTTACCCAGTTTTTCCTGGGTCTTTGCCATGTATACATGTTATAAAGCTTTGTTTGATTTTCTCCTGTTGTTCTGTCTCATGTCACTTCGTCAGATATTTCTTCCTGTCCTTCTTAAATCATATCCCCGAGTTGTGCACCTTGTCCTTCTCAGAAACCCTTGTCATAGCTGCAATTTGGAATGTGTTTATGTGACTGATGTCTATTTCCCACATTATATAGTAACTTCCTCCAGGAGAGCAAGTGTTTTGCTCACCACCACTTACCTCAATGCTTGGAATAAAGTAGGTACTCAATATATAGAAATTGAAAAAATTGAACAAAATATTTGATAAGAAAATAAAGAAACGAAGCAAGCACTTTTGGAGACAAACAAACAAAAAAGTAACAATAAAACATTACTATCCTTATTAATCGAGGCCCATAGGATTCCATCAGGTCATCAAATAGCAGGAACTGCTCAGGTTATGGAGTCACCGCAAGAAGACTAGATAAATATCAACACGAAGACATTTCATGAAGAGTTAGATATTCCTTGATCTGGAAATAAGTTCATTCTCTTGTGGGTAGACTTTCCTATGGTATTGGGACATAGAGGACATCAATATTAGCACTGAGGTTGCAAATTATCACAGAGTGTGGCTCAGAAAGGAACTATTAGCAGGGAAAGCATCTTTAGTGAATATTAATTTCTCCTCAGACTCAGAAGTTCTTGCTCTTAGACTGGGCCCATATAGTACCCGAGTATCTCCCTCTTTTTTTTAGAAAAGAGATGAGAGGATATTCCAAGAGAAGAATAGTAAAAACAAAGGCCTAATCCTATTTACAACTCATGATATCCATAATTTAAATAATACGGTTAGTTTTTCCATGTTTATTCCATTTTCTTCATATTATCTCTGGTTCTAGTCACTCAAAGGGAAAGTAGGGAAATAATTAGATTTCTTATACAACAAAGTAGTGTTCTTGAGTATTAAACACCCAATTCAACTCTAGCATGATAGACATAGGCTGAGACATGAGAAATAAATGTGTCCCTTTCCATTGACAAAACATCAAAAAGTGGTACATAAAATCTTCTCAAAAAGAAAAATGTCTTTTTGTCAATGTCTAATAACAAAGAGTGTTTGTTGCAGTTGGTACCATGAAATTTAGTATATGTTATTAAACCATATTAACAACTCCTCCAGATCTTACAATCCAAGAAGAAATATGTTCCTTTTGATATCCTCCTTTATATATGGAAAATACTTATTTCACTCAAACCTAAATTTTTATGATTCTGATTTTCTGTAGGAATATCTCCATTCCTGCACTATTCTTACTTCTATGATGCAATTAACATAGCTCCCCAGTAATATCTCCAATGACTTTTTAGACTAATTCTTACATCATAATGTAACTTCATTTGGCACAACCATTAAAGTTAGATAAAATGGAATTGTACTTTGAAAAGTTTAATAGTACTAACAATACCATATTAAAATATTTTATTTAAATGTAAGGTGATTTAATTATAAGCCTGTAGCTCTCATTTTCCTTTTAAATTAATCTAAGTATCTGAACACAAGTTTATGTAAATATTATCTAATTAAGCCTCAAGGGATGTTTACATTTTCTCTTTATAAAACTAAAGTTATTAAATATATCTCAATATTATAAAGATTATCTTATGTTTCTCAAAAATTGTCCACTTAAAGTTAGATAACTTAAGATCCTAATTTTTTTCCCATATGTATTTGAAATACTTTTGAGATTCTTGTTGTTACCTTGTGTACAAATAGGCTTTGATGCATAGATTGTACTTAAGTTTCTATAGAATTTCCTTGATGACATCATTTTGGGCTTTTGAAACAGTTTGTCAGAGGTAAGGGGTCTGAGAATTTTGTATAGAAATAAATATTTTAAACTAAAGGCAACATTATTTATTTTGGTGCTTTCTAGCAATAGGTCAGTGCTTCCTAAATTAAAAAATACATTCATTTGCCTGTACATTTATGGAGCACTTACTATATGCCAGGATGTGTGTGTAGGGGGATATGACCCAGTGCCTTAATGGTCTTCCCCAAAGGTCACAAACACTGCAGCGGGCCATTGGAACCATGGATACATCTTTTACTTTGAATGTTGCAGGCATTCTTACTTAGCTTTAGCAGTTTCACTTGTGACTTACATACACCTGATTTGATTTTGGTAATAAATATTTTAAAATATATTAATGATATCTGCCAAGATAGACACCTACCTGGTTTGCCCAAGACTGTCTCAGTTTTAGGATTTACAGTCCCACATCCTGGGAAACCCTTCCCAGGACATTTGGTCATCCTTTCTATAACTACCCAAGATTAAAAGTATTTGATAGCATATGAAGGTATATGTATCCATAAAACAAAATTGTTCTCACCTTTTCTAGTAAGAAAATATTTTGATAATGATAAAAGATTATAAATAAATAACAAAATGACAACCTGGTACCACTTCTTCAAAATTTACAGGAAGCAATTGAGCTTTACTATGAAGTCAACTTTTAAGTCTTCGATTATGATAGAAATGGGAGTCATCAAAAAACTAATTTGATATTGCACAGGTCAAAAATATCAGCAGGTTAAGTTTATTAATGAAAACAAAAAAAGGAGAAAAATGGCTTGCAACTATCTTGCTCATTAATGAATCAATATTCATATGCTTTACAATGGTTTGATCTGTGTTGCTTACACATATGACAGCAATTATCTCACCATTGTTGCTCACTCATTTAACCATCTTACCTTTTTATTGATAGCAAAGTCCTATTACATGTATTTTTTCCACACAAGTAAAAAATTACAGGCGTTAAAACTAAACCAGTGAAAAAAAAGTAGTGAACTAATATTCAACTTAAAATGTTTATTATGCTCCAGCCTTTAAAACATGGTGCATGGAGGAGGAAAATAAATTTTCCTTATATACTGTTTCATGTCAAAAAAATAAAAAAGCAAAATATTTAACTTAAAACAATGTCAAAATGCATTTTATTTCCCATTCTTTCTTTCTGTTGCATACTAGAGAGCTTCTTTTCCAATGGATTTTTTGGGAAACTTTTACAAGCATTTCATACAGTCTGAGCAACTTGAATCATTTCCTTCTTCATCTCCATTTCTACTGATTCTCATAAACATTTCTTACTTGATCTTCTCATCTTTCCTCGTTTAAAAATTTCCTCTGTAATAATGATCTCTTGAAATCAGCCTTGAGGTGTTTAAATTAGGGACATTTGACTATGTTTTGAAACTATTCTCAATTAAACTTTGTCTAATATTAAAAATAATTGATTTTAACATCTCACATGTATTGGAAAATCATTTTTGATAACAATAATAGAAACTGATTACTTAACTTTTCTGATGAAAAATTTAAAATTAAGATCATTTATTGCCAAAACTAGAAAAAATGAGCATTAACAATTATAAAAGAAATGTAGCATTATTTATTGATCCTCTTCTAGTAAAGAAATAATTTTATATTCAACTTATGCCAAATTGTTAGAAGTTAGTTACTTTTACAGCATAGAAAATCATAAATTGCTAAAAAATTGCAAGATATGGGACCTGCACAATATGTTCTAAACTAATGCTATTATTTACCCATACACAACAGTGACTTTTGTAGTTATTAACATGTACATAATATATAATCATAACATTTTAATATGATGTGTAATTGCAGTAAAGTTATGTTATGAGATTAAAATGGCATTTTATATTACAAGGCCTTTTAATCTGCTCCCTTACTTGTCTCAAGTGATAATTTACTATGTTCTAACTTCCTAAAATATTGGAAAATAAAAATGATTGCTCACAGTTTTTAAAATGTATACAGTAGTCCCCCTTTACCTGCTCTTTCACTTGCTGCAGTTTCAGTTATCTGAGGTTAACCAGCAGTTCGAAAATACTAAATGGAAAATTCCAGAAAAAAACAATTCATAAGTTTTAAATTATGCACCATTATGAGTAGCATGATAAAAGGGACATGAATCATCTCTTTGTCCAGCATATCCACGCTGTATACACTACCCTTCAGTTAGTCATTTAGTAGCGTCTTGGTTATCAGATGGACTGATGAGATATTGGAGTGCTTGTGTTCGAGAAACCCTTATTTTACTTAATAATGGCCCTAAAGCACAAGAGTAGTGATGCTGGCAATTCAGATATGCCAAAGAGAAGCCATAAAGTGCTTCCTTCAAATGAAAAGTTGAAAGTTCTTGACTTAATAAGGAAAGAAAAAAAATCATATGCTGAAGTTGCAAAGATCTATGGTAACTTTTATTACAATATATGGTAATAATTGCCCTATTTTATTATAGTTATTGTTGTTAATCTCTTACTGTGCTTAATTTATGAATTAAATTTTATTATAGGTATGTATGTGAAGGAAAAAACATAGTATATATTGGGTTTGGTACTATCTGTGGTTTCAGGCATCCACTGGATGTCTTGGAACATATCCACCGTGGAGAAGGGGGGACTACTGTATTGTATGTCTTGGTAAATTCTGTATTTTGTCATTCTCTTAGCATCATGGTCCCAGGCTACATAACCCTCATGGGGAGTGGAAAGTGCCATAAATTACCAATCTTATCAGACAACAAATAACTACCAGGAGTTTCACCTACATGCAGAGAGTTAAAACTATTAAAAGAGAAGAATAAAACTTACAGTTTCCAGTTATTAATATAGAATAATAATAAATTTCAGTGGTTGCCAATATCACCATTGTTTCCATTCTCTCTCAAAGCTAAGGGAAGCCTTATCTCATTTTGTTTCAGAAGCCTTATCTCATTTTGCATTCAGCTGCCAATTTTCATCTTCTCTAAGCAGAAAATAATTTTCAAAATCATCATATGAAAAATAATATTGCTTTAATATATGAAAACCAGTAAACTGGAAATGTGAAGCAACCATATGAGAAGAGAGATATCGGCATGAGAGTTTGAAAAATAACAAGTTAAAATATCACTTGGCTCTCCACCACATTCTCCCTCCCTCAGTACATTCTTCCCCTAAATCTTACTCATGAACTGTGCATGTCTATGGAAATCGATGTGAATCCCACGGCGGCTGCTATTCTCCCCTAACCACAGCCCTCACATGGCTATAAAGCACTTTCATATATATTATCCTATATCATCCTCACCACATTCCTTTGAGGCAAGTAATATTACACTGAAATAATATTGCATTTTAGTATCAATGTGATTATTGCATAATTATGTGCTATATTATTGCATATTATTATTCTAAATTTACTGAAGAGAAAGCTAAAGTTGGCAATTCTAAATTCAATGTTTCTTTAAACACAAAATGGGTAATTGTTATTTTATACTAGATATGTTCAATAAGTTTGTTCTAGAGGTTAAAGTGATAGAAACACCAATACGTAGAGCAATAATTCTGTTAAAATAATATAATAATAGCAAAAAAAATGAATCTGTATTATTTTGGGATTTCAAATTGTATGGTGATGTCTTTGTCCCATGGCTTGAAATACAATCAATATGCTGATCACTCATAAATTTGAAATTTGTACATCCTGTGTGGGCCTCATCCATAAGATCAGTACTCATATGGGAATCACCTGAATATCTCCACTTGAACACCTAAGAGTCATCTCAAACTTAATGGTCAAAGACAATCAACTGACTCCCTCCTCTCTCCCGAAGTCTCTGCTTCTCCTGATTTAGTCCCTATATCCAGGGTGACCACACAACTCATCATTCAAACCTGGGTACTTTTGAGAGTGAAAGGGGGAAGGTTAATAACAACTCTGGGCCAACACATACGTGGGGAATCAGAATTGGCCACCTCAAAATACGTCTCTTTTCCTTGATTATTTTCAAGAACAAAAGACTCTGAAAGAAACTTTGACCTTCCTCCCGCTAACTGCAGAAAAGAAATTTAAGATAGGAGGCCTGTCCCCAGGACAGGTCTTCACCATAGATAACTCTGGGATATCCATAGGGCCCTTGCTAAGCCCATTCTTATCAAAGTTCTGTTTACCAAACATTTGCTTTTCCATTTCCATGTGAATTGCCTTCCTCCCCTTTGAAGTCTCAAACTGCTATCTCCAACATCCTCCTTTGTCTTTAGCTGAAGATGGTATTTAAGATGAGAACCTCTGTCGTTTTGTTGAGTTACCCAGTTTTTCCTGGGTCTCTCCCATGTATATATGTTATAAAGCTTTGTTTGATTTTCTCCTGTTGTTCTGTCTCATGTCAATTTAATTTGTACCCCAACCAGAAAGACCCAGAAGGTAGAGGATTTGTCTTCCTCCTCTACACATGTGAACCAGGACTATCCTCGGCAACCCCAAAGGTATGGTCACTCTACCCGTCTCAATAAATAGCAACTGCTTCCATCCATTTTCTTTTTTTTTTTATTTTCTGTTTATTGCAGTAACACTGGTTTATAACATTGTAAAAATTTCAGGTGTACACCATTGTACTTCTATTTCTGCCATATGATCCAGCTATTCCACTGTTGGGTATTTATCCAAAGAACTTGAAAACACCAATTTGTAAAGGTACATGCACCCCTGTGTTCATTGCAGCGTTATTCACAATAGCCAAGACTTGGAAGCAACCTAAGTGCCCATCAAGGGACGAATGGATAAAGAAGCTGTGGTATATATACACAATGGAATTCTACTCAGCCATAAGAAACGATGAAATCCAGCCATTTGTGACAACATGGATGGACATTGAGGGTATAATGCAAAGTGCTTCCATCCATTTTCAAAGCCTAAAACCTTGAAACCATTTTTGTGAACTTTTAATCTAACCTCCTATATTCGTCAGCAAATGCTGTCAGTTCTGTTTCAGAATTAGACTACTTTTCACTACCTCCAGAGCTACCCATGCTGTTCTATAATCCCTTATCTGGATTATTGCAGCAGCCTTCTAAATGATCTCCTTGATTCCACCCTTGCCCCTCAAAAGTCTATTGGTAACACAACATCTGACATAATCCTTTTAAAACAGAAATCATATGTCACTCAAAATTCTTTGATGGTGTCCCATAATATCCAGAGTATAAGCAGGTTTCATAAAATGGACAAGATCCTACACTAGCTGCTCCTCTTTCAACCCATTATCTCTTTGACTTCAGTTGCTGCTACTCTCCTACTTGCTCACTCCACTTCAGCCATACTGCCTCGCTATTCTTTGAACATTGCAGGCAATCTCCTGTCTCAGGGTCCCTGCGCTGACAAAGCTCTCTCTAGAACTTTCATCCCCCAGATATCCATATGGCTCAGTTCCTCACCACATTCAAATTTGCATTCCAGTGAGACTTTCTAAGTGTCCCTGGAAGTCCCTATTTAAAATTGCTTTTATGACCATCAGGCAAACTACATGTTTTACTCAGTTATTTTTATATTTTCTGCAAATGACTGCTACAATGATAACTACATAAAAGTGTGAATTTTTGTCTGTTTACTTTGCTTCTCTACCGCCAGGACCTAGAGCAATGCCTGCAGTCACAAAATAAATTCATTTTTAAGGAATAAATTAATGAATGAATTAACAGGTCTTATAATTAGATACAGATAATATCTGCATCAGCAACTAGGTGTGGACTAAAGATTATAGATATGGAGTTGAATTTTAATATAATTTTATTTTATTTTAGTAAGTGATGCTCCATGAAGATAGTACCTACACTATGTCATGTGACTATTTTTCTCTTCTACCTGGTAAAATGGAAATTTGCCCATTTTTGGTAATAAAAGTATTCAGATAAATAAAACTTTAAACTCAATTTTGCACCATGAGTAACTTCTGCTATGTAAATGGTATGAAATACCAATACATATCTAATTACTATCTCTCGTCATTTTTTTCCTATTTAAAAAAAATGTATAATATGTATGTGGCTTTTTTCAGCATCCGTTTATTTTGAGTTGATAGATCATGAAACTCACTAACCACTGCAATGTTATATTAATTGAATTCAAGTATGAGTTAAGGTATAAATGTAGTATTACCATGGTAGGAATTTCTCGCAGTTTCATAAGAAATGAGTATATGTTAGTGTCTTCCAAACTTGATCTGACATATAAAACTGTTGCATTACACTAAACAAAAGTTTCTCAGATAATTTTCAAGTAGGACAACAAATTTTCTCTGACTTACTGGTTTTCAATAAAAGAAAAAAATGGGCATGGAAGAAGGATATTCAGCGTAAAGAATATAAAACAATATGCTAATATTGTAATCCTTACCACTTAAATGAAATATACCTTTGCTTTCTTAAAACATTAACATACCCCAAAGAATTCTCATTTCAGAGGGTATAAATGCAGATAATGAATCAAAGAAAGCATTGTGGTGGGCTTGCTATAGGGAATTAGAAACATTGGCCCAAAACCAGTGTTTCTACCGATAGTAGAAAATGTGATTTGTATTTTTAAGAGAAAATAATGGCACCATATTTTTAAAAATACATTTGAAGTAAAATTCACCTATGAATGTTATAATGGCAATAATATTATTAGGAATCACTTTAATAGTGAAGCAAGAAAAAATACAGCAAAATTCACTATTCCCAATGTAAATATATGTTATAAAATCACATCACGTAATGAAAAAAAAAATTGAAGAAAGAAGACAAAAGCAATATTGCATTCCTTATTTGTTTTCCCCAAATATTGCATACATCTAAAGACCCTTAACAGTTAAAGTGAATCTCTTGCAATATGTTGCTTTAAGAAAAGTTAATATTTTACCCACTTTGTGTTTGATAAAATCTTTCCACATGTGGAATTTTCACTGATTTCCTAAGAAGGAATCAGGGATCCAAGCTCAAATCAGAGAGATTATTCTTGGAGAGAAAGATCTCACAATTCTTTTAGTTTCTACTGCCAAAGAATTTCAAGAACTCATTTGTCTGGGCAAAGTCTCATCTCTCCAGGATTGGCTTAGGTGTGGTCTAAATGTGCAGTTCAGTTGACCTTTCAAGGTCACTTCCAGATTTATGAGCTTGTGAAATTCCTTAAAGCCATTTCTTTTACAGGCTAGCATACACTGGTTCCACTTTCCTTGACAGAGATGAAAAAAGCTTTTGTTCATGCTCAAAGGAAAGCAGATCACTGAATACCATTTTTTTCAGTGAAGTTGAACTATTGAGAAGTTTTTTGATTAACGCAGAAGTGCTAAGAGCAGTTCTCCCCAAAGTGTTACTATGATATTCAAACCATGCCACATACTGCTGAAAGGTTCCTGTCTAAATGTCATGGGATGAGTTGAAACATGCTTACCCCAGGCAATTCTTTCCGGAACAATTAGAGCCTACTGTGATTCCAAAAAACACAGCTTTGCTTCTTTCTTCTTCTGAATTGCATTGGCCCAAAGGGTAGGCTTCTATAGTTTTAGCCTATAGAGATAGACTTGTTTTCCTCTGCAAATATTTGGAGAGTGAGAGCTGTGTCTCAGATGAATATATGTCTACTCTAATCACAAAGTAACATCAGAATTCTAGCTTGTTGGTCTCTGAACTACTACCATTATTGCAACTTGCTCTTAAAAATTCCTAGTTGACTGAGATGGAAATGCCTTGACATTCTTCTTGATAAAAATATAAATTGTGACTTACTTATACAATCTACTCACCTATTTCAGGAAAAGTGGTATGAAATTTCATCACACACAAAAAAACATTCACATATGTTATTGGCAAACAGGATCTTCTATCTCTGTAGTATACATTTAATTTCATGGAGACAAATAGCATTACCACTAAACTATTACAATAAAACTGTTATACAATTTCTATGAAAAAGCTCAAAATTCTCATCACGTAATTTTAAAAAAATATCACTTCAAAAATGTAAAATATGGGGCCAGCCTCGTGGCCTACTGGTTAAAGTTCTATGCACTCTGCTTTGGTTGCCCGGGTTCATGGGTTCGGATCCCGGGCATGGACCTATGCTACTTGTCAGTCATGCCTTGGTGGCGACCCACATACAAAATAGAGGAAGATTGGCACAGATGTTAGCTCAGGGCTAATCTTCTTCAAGCAAAAAAAGAGAAAGATTGGCAGCAGATGTTAGCTCAGGGCCAATCTTCTTCAGTTAAAAAAAAAAATAAAACATTATCTCTTTAAGGAAAATGCCAAATGAATTCAAAATAATTATATTATTCCAAGAATTCTGGCAAAATGACTAAAGTTTATGGTTTTAATCTGTATTTTCTTGTCTTAAGAAAGGTCATTATGGCATAAATAAATGGGTATATTTATAGTTAGTTGTCTTAATTTTGTAAAGTTAGACCTGGAAATCATATATATTTAAGAGTAGCAGAAGAAAAATGCCTGAAAAAAGTTAGTTCACTATAAATAAAGTTCCATATCCTTTATAATTTTGTATCATTCCATATGATTTATTTTCAAATATTTGACTTAAATAGGAAAGACCATATCTAAGTTTCCTGCCAGCTGTGTTCAGCCTACAACAGCTCTTCTTGTGTGTTCAGTTTTTCCAATACCTTCAGCATCTTTAATATCTGTTTTTAATATATATGTATATTTTATTGTGGTAAAAAAACACGTAACAAATTTTTCATCTTAACCATTTTTAAGTGTACAGTTCAGTAGTGTTAAGTATATTCATATTGTTGTGCAACAGATCTCTAGAACTTTTTCAGCTTGCAAATCTAAGTTTGGTAACCATTTTATAGCTCAGGAATATTTTTCACTATAAAAGGGCAATGCTTAATATCCTTTTTATTTTTTAAGAATTAAATTTATGACGTCCAACCATTAATTATACCTTGCTCTAATCTCCCCTTAACACAAAATCATATGGGTTTATAAAATGGCATCGATTTATCCAAAATAACTTGTCTTGTCTCCAATTAGGAAAGGCTAAATATAAGGAGTACACTTCCCCTTGAGTTAGTCCTATACTGAACTACCTAGAGTCTGCTAAATAAGTCTGAACATTCTCATGGCTCCAACCACTTTTAGGCATTAAATTACGCCAGCACTTCATGTAAGAGTAGATATAGCCCCACTGCCCAGGCCACATTTCAAATAAACCGTTTTCTTTCAATAGATACAATTTCCCCCTTGCTTGTTTAACTTGGTGGTAGTCCGTATTTCATCCATCTATTCTGTTTTGCAGCATGTTTGAGAAGCAGTTAAAGTTTACCAAATAAACTTCCACTTCCTTTGCTTCATCTACTTCATTTATTTAATCATGTTTTAATTATTTTTTATTCTAAGTTGAAATATTCCAATATCTTTTGGTATCTCTCCTTTAATATCCTCTTATTGCCCTCCCTACACACTAATCTGTACAATAAACCACTTTCCAAACTCTTATACTCTTAATTTTGACACACTTTCCCATTCTGCTGGTTTAACCAAAAATGTGAGCTAGTACATCAATCCTCAAGCCCTCTCGATTTTGTGGCTTCCTTTACTCTCCTTCCCTTGAAGTCTTAAGGCAAATTAAAAATAGATAAAAACTGACTTTAATCTGCCTTTAGATGCATCCTGGAAAACAAAATGCAGTAAGTCAGAAAACTATGTTATATCATAGGCATTCTTATCTTAAAAACGGAAGAACAATGACTCAAGTCAATTTCTAGGCAGAATGACTCTAACATTTAGAACTAGCCAAAACAGTGGACATTACAGAATTCCAGATGTTGACATAAGATCCCTGTGAGACTTTGGACAGTCATTTCTGGTCATCTGCATCTGATGAACCAACTCAGGCACTGGCACAGCTGTTGAAAGAGGGCAGAAAGTTAAGACACTTTGCCCCAATTGCTGACTGCTGCTTTTGCTGTGTCCTTCACTATTAAGTGGTGATATTTGAGCTGCATGGATTGCATAAAATCATATTCAACTCCACAAAGTAAGCAGTACTGATCTGCTTAAAAGCTATCCAGTTTAAAAGTTTGCATATTACTATTCCAACTGGATTGTCATGTTAATAGCGCAGTGAACAAATCACTTGTGGGGGTATTTTTGATTCCTGAGTTAGGTCAATTTCAATTTCCCAAAATCATCAATTATATTTAATAAAGCAAATGTTGAATTCAGATTCAGTTTAAAGATCTTTAAGATTTATAAAATGATTACTATGGTAGATGCTGGGGGAAAAACCAAATGTATACAAGGACCCATGTCTCAAAAGATAGGTGAAAAAACAAGCATAGTTGTTTAAAATAATACGTGTCCTGGGGCTGGCCCCATGGTGTAGCGGTTTAGTATGCGTGCTCTGCTGCTGGCGGCCCAGGTTCGGATCCCAGGCACGCACAAATGCACCACTTGTCAGGTCATGCTGTGGCGGCATCCCACATAACGCGGAGGAAGATGGGCACAGATGTTAGCTCAGGACCAGTCTTCCTCAGCAAAAAGAGGAGGATTGGCATGGATGTTAGCTCAGGGCTGATCTTCCTCTCAAAAAAAAAAAAAAAAAAAACGTGTCCTAGAAGGCAGTATTTCATTCAGTGCAAGGATATGAGGTGCATAATACAAGTATTAGTGAAATAAGGAAACATGAAGAATTACGAAGACACTACAAAAAAGCTGGGACTTGGGCTTTATTGGGCAAAGAAGGGGAGATGTATTCTGAAAAATTTAAGGTTTGGGGTCAATAACAATTATACTTTGACTACAGAAAAGGGTTTTCACAGGCTATAGTGAGAGATGGTCTTAATGTAATAAACAATAAAGCAAATGAGTACATAATAACAGCAGAGACTGTATGATAGCATCCTGAAAGGGACATTTTGTACTCAGAGGAACACAAGAATGCTTAATAAAAAAGTTGTACTGCTTCATCCAAGCTAGTTCATAAATATTTAAAATCTCCTTCTGTTCTGATTAATGCCCTGTTCTTCCTAAATGGTTTTAAAATGGTATAAGGTACAAAGTAATGTTTCTCATTGGGGAAGAGGGTCTATCTGTACTAGAGTGATAGGATACTCTTCCTAGGCCACCATAAAAGGAGCTCAAAGTTCAGGCCTGTGTTCCTTAAGACTTCCAAAGTGATCAAAGTAATTTTACATGAAGTCGTACTCTTCATGAAATTATTTTAGATTGCAAAATAATGTGTATTTGAAGGAGTTTTCTAATTTACTAAAACCATTTGTTTGCTGTAGGTTTCAAAGAGCCTGGTTGTTAAAAGCTGGCACTTAGTGTCCAGTGATCTGTGACCTATGTTCCCATCCAAACACTGTGTTTCAGCAAGTCATTTCTGCTGATTCACGTTTGCTTTTGTCATGGAGAACTTTCTAGATTCAAGATCTATGAAACCGATCGTTTTGGCTTATTTAAAGCTCCATCTGATATCTATAATCTTGCATCTTTGTCCAGGTTATTTTAGCCTGTCTCTTTATTGCACCTATGAGATTAAATTATAAAAGATGGTGATTACAATACCAACCTCTCACCACCTTGCAGATCCTGTATAAGAACAAATATAGCAGAACTGAAGGTTTACAGCTCTTTGGAAGGAAGTGTTTTTGTATGTTAGAAAGATGTCTGCAAAAATGAACATACAATGAAACCTCAGCTGTCAATTATTTTCTCTCTAAAATATTTGCCTTATACATATAAACATTTAAAAATAAAACATGACTACTAACTACATAGATAAGTCTATCATACAGGCCTCTCAAGTATTTTTCAAAAAGTCTGATTAACTGTTATTTAAAAAGCTCTCTCTCTCTTCACTTCTTTCTCTCTCCATCTCTCTCTCTCTCTTGTCCACACACATACACACATGCATGTGTGTGACTATCTATTTACGCCACCTTTTAGAAATCTACTTGGTACCCTATAGCTACATATTAAGTTTTCATAGACACTTCATTTTGCTGACTCATAATAGGCGTGTTCTCTCCAGTGTTCTCTTTCTTTGAAAATTTGCTATTAGGCATGACTTAGATATGAAGTAAAATTTATTTGGCTAAATCTCTAATTTTAATTTTGTTATAACAAAAATTCTGTTAAGTGATTCAGACCATTCTGTCAACAAAGTATCTTTTCCGTTTACTTTTTTTTTAAATAAAAGGACAAAATATAGAAAGAAAATATTTCCTTTAGAATTAATCCATTTAAGTTAAAATTGATTTAAATTTTCTAAATATTTAGCTAATATATAATTTAATTAAGACATTTCAGACAATATTTTTTCACGGGGTACATGATGTGGGAAACACAGTGTGAAAACATACAAAGAAGGACTTCATTAACATGCTACCTATGTCTATAGACAAATTTTATGGTATTGATCACTTGGTCACAGATTGGTTTTTGCACTTCGCACACTGTATGTGGATCGTCTAATCAGTTACTTTTCTTTAAAAATCTTATGAATTATAATTTTCTCACTATAGAACTTCGATCTCAAAACACATGACAAGCAAATTACTATTTAGTTTATTTTTAGTTGTGGGGAGAGTGGTAGACTACTTTAAAAAAAAAGTCAAATTAAATGTTACCCAACTTTCAAATGCATCGACTAAGCAAAATTTTCTCCATTTTTCTCCTAGGTCTTACTAGCTTTGGGATAGACAAGCAGTACGTGAATTTAAAAATAACGCAAAACATAATATACAAGGTGATAAGAATGTCTTTTCAATTGCCCCCCACCTCCTGTAGCACTCTAGCCATCTTCACAAGTTAACTACACGACCCTTGTAAAACACTAGAAAAGCACTCCCCTAACTAAAGATATCGACTCCAATGGCCCTGTTTTCACACATTACCCACTCCTCTTGTTTAAGACATCAGAGGTTCAGGTTAGAAAGCCACTGTTATTTGTCATACTAACTAGACAGACAACCCCCACAGGATTCTAAGTAGGGGGAAGATGAAAGAGAGAAAAAAAGGGAGTGGATGCGGAGGTTGCCTAAGAAAATAGGTTGTTGTAGGTAACAAGGAAGAAAGTTAGAGAATAAAAACAAAGGAGGATAAAGGGATAAAAGAATATTATTCTATTTCATTATTTTGCTTAGGAATGTCTCCTGTTTTTATCAGAAACCCTAAAGCCCATATTAATTTTCACTCTATTATTTACATTTCTCAAAATTCTTGTGTTCTCCTAGGAAAAGTTTAGACTAAATTATATTTGATGATCAAGCAATGAGTTTATTTAGTTGACAGAAGCTGCTACTGTCAGAGAAGGAACTAAACTCAAGTAATTTTGTTTGACCCCCACAGTGTTTTAAAAAATCTCTAGAATTTGAATGTCTTTACATGGTTCATATAAAGTTCCTCAATTCTCTCTAATGTTTTATAACCTGCCAGGTTTACTCATTAATATGTCTCAAGCCTGAAAGCATTTGTCTTTCTTACCATAATTTATCGCTTCTGACTTGTGTTATTGTTCCAGCTGCAAAATGTGATACTCTGGAACATAGAAAGGTATTAAATCTCTCCTGTGTGAGCATGCTTTCTTCAAAGAGCCTCTTCCCCTGTCAAGGACTCTTGGAAC